CCTCCTTGGAAATCCGTCTGGGCCATTAAATTGTAAGCCAGCCCAGCCCAAATCCAGCCTATTGATTTTCTTGATGATTGGGCTTTACCTTGACACATGGCTTTACCTTATTGGTTTATTTTAGGTGTAAACAATGCCCCCCAACACTTGGTTTTATGGGAATAAATCCAAGTGTTTAAATTTTAAATTACCTTTCAGATTCCAAAGGCCATGTGCAAAATCTGCTAAATTCCAAGATGATTGCAATAGACATTCCCAACTTTTTCACAGCTGACTCTGTATGAGTGCATCCAGCCATCCACAGCCAGTCATGGCCGCTCAATCAAACTTGCTCTCATTTTGAAATAAACACATGAAAGCAAATTAATTTATTTGTGCATAGACAAAAGTATAAACCTGGCTCAGACAGCTTCTTGGAACTCTAAGCCTCCTGCCTCCCAAATTGTGGGGAAATAAGGCTTGAGATAAATTCCATTGATTTTTCTGGGATGTAGCTCTTCATCAAGTGACTCTAACCAATAAGCACCCCCTCTCAACACTTCATGAATTCAGAATCGTCCTTCCCAATTTGGGGACCATTTCCCAAATCTGTGATCTTTCTTGCCAAGAGGTAAAATTGCTTTCCCGACCAAGTCACCAACTGCCAGATTTTTACCTTTTACCCTCTTGTTGTAAGACTTTGCAATTTTGAGTTTTTGAGCTTGCAATCTATCCAAAGCTATCAAACGTGTGTCTTCAAGGTCCTCAAGCTCAAGCATCATGGCCTCATCGTATTCTCCAGACTGGAGATTATGCTGAATTGCTATTCTTAAAGACCTGGCTATTAACTCCATTGGCAAGACTGCATCATGGCCATATGTCAAGGCAAAAGGTGTCATTTTGGTTGAACTCCTCTGTGAAGTTCTATAAGCCCACAATGTTTCAGACAATAATTCATGCCAGCGTCTGGGATTGTCATCCACCATTTTTTCAAGCAAATTAATCACCACCTTGTTAGAAGCTTCCGCCTGCCCATTAGCTTGTGCATAATGAGGAGTAGAATTTAACAAACGGAAACCCATTTCCTTTGCAAATGCCTCCACCTGATGGCTGACAAAAACTGTGCCTTGGTCTGTTGTAATCGTTTCTGGCAGACCAAATTTGTGAATAATGTCCTCTTTGATGAACTTGATTACATCAGATTGGTCTACCTTCTTCATTGGTTTAGCCTCCACCCATTTGGTAAAATAATCCGTTGCCACTATAATAAATGAATGACCTTTTGATGAAAGAGGATACACCTTACCAATTAAGTCAATAGCCCAGCCTTGAAATGGCCATGGTTTCACAATAGAATTAAGTTCAGAGGCTGGAACTCTTTGAAGTGGCCCATGGATCTGACAAGATTTGCAGCCCTTAGCATAAG